TCCGTTTTGGAGGATTTTTCCGGGAATGTGAACAAACGAACATCGTCGTCTCATTTCTTATCAGTCTTCTGAACAAAGTTTTGGAAAATGTCTTTCATTAATCTTTCAGAATCATATCAGAATATCAGAATTTTAGAATCAATATCTGAAATATTTTGCATCATTTCTGCTATTTCATGTCTGTTAAACATTTTCAACGTCGACTTCAACCGGTAAAAACAAAGAATTCCACGTCTAACAAGATCTAATTATTTTCAAAAAACTGAACTGCAAACGGAAATACCCAACGCTTTAGAGCAAATAAAACTTCTCTACTTACAGTAAAGAACTACCACGTGCGAATAAAGTGCGATTTAAAGAGACGTCATAAATCACGCCATTCGGAAACATTTATTTCCCCGTTTGTTTATATAATCAAAAACACGTGTATGTGAGTCATGCTTCTCTCATTTCGAGTAGAAGGTGTAATTTACATGTGTTGCGTGCGTACGGGTTCGTTATGAAATGAATGCACAAGTCCGATGAAAAATGAACAAAAATTTATTATTATCACAACAAAAAAATGCTTAAATTTTCTCAAATTATCATGCAGTATTACAATATCTCACAGTAGTTATCTTTTAACTACTCAAATGTCTAATAGAACGTAATTCAAAACAGCTAAAGAACGCTAATCCGCGAATTCGCTACAATCAACAAGAGCATTTTCTAAACAACAACAAACTAAGCAACAACTACAAACTGAGATGTTTTCCTCCTTTTTAAGATTTTTAAAATCACGCGCTAGAATTTTCCAGTACTTTCTCGAAATTAAAAAGAGATATTTATTTATTTAATGCACGCGCTCTTGTATTTTCAATTTTCCGGCTTAGCTTTCTTTTAATATTCGTCACGCGCTGCACTGCGCGAGAAATAAAACCATTAATTTATAATTGAACTAACATTAGCTTTTTAAATACCAAATTCGTAACACATGTATCTGAAACCATATGGACATACAGTGCCATCTTGTGGCAGAAATTATAGTTTGAAAAACGTTCCAAAGTACTGGCACAAATACGTGACAGTCGGTAGAGAATGGAACAATCCTCTGGCACGCCTGCGTGTCGGCCGGTAGGTAAGTGCGTTCGTTGCTGGCACGTATACGTGACAGGCGGCGCGAAGGGGTTAAGCAATTATTCGCTTAGCTGTTTATTAGGTTCATCAACACCGAGTTTAATAGAATAAAAGGGATGAATATTACAGATGATAAACAAATTTCCAAAGGATGATTAAAAAAAACTCAGTTCTGGTATGGAAAGATTCCTCGAGACAATTTCGTTCCATCTAAAGAAGTGTTGTTTACGAAAAGCAATTTTCGCGAAGGCAAGATTTAACAGACGATGTATTTATGGATAAAGACTGGACGATTTGGGGAATTCCAAGGAAACTACCAAAGCTAAAAGGCAGTTGCATAAACGCTTCGAGTGAAAAAGGTGTTAACACTGTAAGAGCTAATTCTCTTCGCTATTATAAAGTAAAAGGATCTTACTATGAAACTTGACGACTTCTCGCGCAGGCGTAAATAATACCAGCACAGAAGAAGGGTAAAATAAACCCTTTATTATTCAACAAACTCTTAACACAAATGCACGTACTTCATGCTTACAATAACACGGACGACTTACGGTGGAATTTAAGAATAATTTAACAAGTAATTCAAAGATATATAGTAATAAAACAATTTAGTTTAAGGCTAACTAGGCTGACTCAACAACCTACCCGACAATATACTTATTAAATGGGCAAAAAGGCGTATCAGCAACTCCGCGTAACAACCGCAAAGACAAAATAGTAACGTGCGCTGGCTAGCGAAATCACGCTCTGAATGAACTTCTAGATTCGTCTGTATTTATACTCTCTTTAAATTTGCGGTACTTTTCCGTTTTGCCGGCGCAGGTGATAAAGTCGCCGGTAATGCTACACTTGATGCCATACAGAAAGAATATCCTCGCTGGTAACCTTTTACGCCTCACTTTCAAAATAAGTCACAGCCATTTCTTATCAGATTGATTGTTTCTTTCAATGCTGGCATACAATTACATAGAAGTTTTACCAGATAATTCAATTTTATGCCCTAAGGCCATTGGGATTGCATCCAAGTCAATTAGGATGCAATCCCACCGCTCAGCCGAAGGCGAAAATATAGAAAAGGCAAAGTCAAGGATTAAATTCATCCATTCTAATGAGAATCACTAGCGAAGTAAAGCACTGCGGTTTTATATAATTTCTGAGTAAGCTATTCGTACGATTTGAAATAATTCTTGCATTTAAACTTATATTCCAAATTAAGATTTCCTGAAATTAATGCAGATAATTACTGCTTTCTACGGGTTCGTGGATTAGGAGTGATTGATGACAACACTTGACGAAGAATAAAAATACAATTTATTCACTCAGGACAGTTTCAAAAACACGTTTACAGTCGTCGAAAAGACTGAGTTAAACTCGCTGAAACAATCAGTAACACAGCTTTCAGGCTACAATCGTGAAGAGTCCTTTACGTCAAAGCACTAAAGTACAGTTCCCTGCTCGGTTCGGTCGCTCTCAAGCTAATCGGTGAGATCAAAACACTGCTACTGAATTCAATATACTCTAGATACTATCTTACTCCGCGTACAGGCAGGGTATATATAGCATATGACCTGCCTTCGAGAATATTTTCGGGAAGACCCCGCTAAGAATGCGTTCGAGAATGTTCTCCCTCCGTCTATGGCATATCGCGAATTTTATCGCCAAATGGGCAATTTCACGCAAAATCTGGATATCCTGCCTTTCCTTGCCACTTTCTGGAAATCCTAAACCAGCTTTGCGGGGAAGCTTTTTTACCGCAGCTGGGCTTTTCTTAATAATAACGAAGTGCACAGTTTAATGTACGTAGTACACTACTGTGTATATTATTCAAATATCTTTTATGTGAAATATGGAAAGAAAGGCTATTGATTTTAGATGTGCTACTTAAATGATTTCATAGTAAACTCAGGTCAGTGGCGTAGCTAGGGTGGGGCAAGGGGGGACATCTGTCCCCGGGCGCAGCATCTAGACAGAGCAAATTGATGTTATGAACTTTTAGAATGAAATGTTTTCATGAATGAAACAAACATATTGACGTAAAGATAAACATAAATATACATATGTAAACATAAATACGTATACATAAACATATTTATGTAAACACAAACATTTTAGGTAGTTACAATAAAAATCGTCTAAAAAGTGTGCGAACAGCCTTAGCATTCTTGTACAAATTAACATGCTATAAGCGTGCTTTAACATTTAAGAAACCTCAAATGATAAGAGAAATGGGTAAAAGAGAGACAAGTTATGTACCTGTAACTTGTGCTTTGGTGTAGAACCATAACACATATGGGAACTGATTTTTAGAAGGGAAGACTCTTCAACTGCTAGCCAAAAAGGTCGTAGATAATGAAGTGTAGGAGGACGTCTGAAACCCTTGGCTAGGTAATTAAACAAGCCAAAACTCGCAAAATCTTCGGCCCACATAGTAGCATACCCAGCAGAAGAGTAGTTTTTCCAAATCAGGGGCCATTCATCGAAGCCTTTGGATTCATCTGGCAGATTTCCTCCGTAGGCCTCTCTACCTAGGGATAAATAATACTAAAATATATGGCAATAGTAAAACTTCAAAAACGGACGTATCTTCAAGTACCGAAATTTACGTTTTTGCATTAAATTTTTAGGTACTTTTCCTTTATCTGACAGCAAATCTGGTAACCATATCTCATTATGTTTTTGCGGCTATATTTATTCTGGAAATTCTCTTTTGAGTGTCATGTTGTTTGGACTCGCCATTCGGCTCTTTGAATTACTATCCACTGAGAAAGATTCGATAGAATATTTCCAGCAATGTAGAACTCTCCCAAGCAATCGAAAACATCCAGAACTTCATGATATGAATCTATATATCATCCAAATCTTTATGATATGAATCCATATATCATGGCTTAAAAGGATCAGGTAGCTACAGAGAAGGTGTCAGCTTTAGTAAAGGATCGGCTAAACAAAGAAATAAAATACTACGCGGGTACTGCAAGGCAACATCTTACAAATCAATCAAATTTGTCAGAATTTATTTGGAGATGGAAGCAAGAAGTAAGCGGGAGGAAATATTTTGATTTCATTATACAGGCAATAGGGAAACAGTTTCCACCTGAAATAAACACTAATTGACATGAGCAACGCCTCTTCAACTCATTTTATAATTAAATTAATTTTTTTCATTGTCTTATTAATTTTTATGTGTTTTATATTATATTATTTGCTCTTATGATCTTACGATATTGCTGGTATGTAAAGGAAAAGTACCAATTTTTATTGCTCAAACAGTTTTTGTAGAATCGCAGAAGTTTTTCAGTCCCTATATGTATAAAGACATGTTTTATCAATAATCAATCTAATATTCTATCGGAGAAGCGCAGCTAAATAATAAAGCATTCAATTTACTCCGTTAGTGGTGGCTATATGATATACATTACTGTGGAAATAATTTTAAACTTCATTTAACTTTCGAGTTAAGACGAAACATTGAACAATACAGTAGAAAGGGTACTTCTTTGCAGCCCCCAGACTGAATCGCCAATCAACGGAAATATTTCGCCAAAATCTGGCTGTGTGTTCTTATACCTTGTTACGTGATCGTTTATTAGCACAGTTTTGCATTTTTGCTCTCCCCGCGTGTTCTTACATTATTGATTTCTTGATGAAATTTTAGAATTCGCATTGTTTAAAAATAGTATACTTATTGCTTTTTTTTCGATACTATGACGTTTTTTAAGTCTTTAATTTACCAAGTAAGGAGGTGTATCATTTTTTCAAGAAAGAGGTCTTTCATCTGATAGCGAAAATGGCCACAGCAGGAAACTTAATGTTAGCGACGAAACCATTTGGAGGAACAGTGTTAAAAATCGCAAAAAGAAGAAGGGCTTCAGAATTGGAAATTGGTTCAGAGATTTCAGAATATTATTCGTCACGGCTATTAGATTTATGTCTTCTTGGGCAGAGGAGCTGACGTTTATGAAATGGTGTAACAAATATCTTAATTTTTGTGAAAGTGCTGCAGTTGATTGGAACAATTCCATGGGACAAAATAATAATAAGGATAAGGATTCTTAAAATTTTTGGTACTGTTCTATTATCGGGACCAGATTCAGAAATGTATAAATGTATGAACATGTGTTTTGTATGTGTGTGCACACACAAATGTGTATATACATAGACACACAAACATTCCTACTTACATATATACACGCGTACGTGAAGACCCACCCATACATACATTTCTGAATGCGGTCCTGATAGCAGAACAGTATCTAATTATTCTCAGGAAATGACACGTGAGTGTTACTGTTATTATAATATATAATAGTATAGATGTTACTGTTATTATAATATATTGTGTTGTTTATTTTTACATTCGCGCTTCATGAGCTTGGCGAAATTTTAGCTAAAGATCTTGGCGCAAATCTAAAATCGCCAAATGTGGTTAGGGACCTTTAAAACGAAGAAGTACCGGTACACTTCATGACAGCCGGTAAAAGCTAGACTTCACTTTCTAGCTAAGCACGGTAAACGGAACAGAACGGAAGAAAGCAAGCACAAGCTACGCAGAGCACAATGCCTAACTAAAATAAGGAAATCTTTCCAATTACCTGTAAGTAGTGCGACTAGATTTGGATAAGTATTGTCTCCGATTTTGTTTATTCCACGGAAGACAGTCATTTTCAAACTTTCAGTGAGGTACCGATAAGTTTTTGGCAAATAGCGGATGAATGCAAGTCTGGATAGTGAATCGATGCCAAATATCAGGACGTTGATGCGGTTCCGAGAAGGTTCTTCAGCAGGCTTAGAGGCATTTCTAATATACGCATGGATTTTATCATAGACAGTAATTTTGGCAAAGTTCTTGCACTGAACTCGAATAAAATCGGTATCACCACGGAGCTGAATTCCATCTGCTTCCAGAAGTACCTGAAAAAGAAACAGTTTGAACCATATTTCAAGTCTTTGTAATAAATATCACTTTAAAAAGGAAACCGGCAAGCATACAAGACATGTGAGGTAAAGGCTGCAAAATTTCAGCAAGCGTTACAGTTTTTCAGTAAGTGATCGTTAGATTTTTTTTTTTTAACTGGACTCTGCGTTTTCGCTCTAATTTTGACAATTTGCAACATCGTTCGGTGTTAGAAATCAGCATGAAATACAAAAACATATATAATTGTAACCTGTCTAGAAATCTTTTATATATCATGATATATAGCTATTTTATATATAAAAATGTTTGACTGAACGAAAGAACTATGCGCTTTGAGTGACAAAAGAAGATGATATCACAACTTAAAAAAAAAAATTCGGTACGTAGTAAATTTTGACTTGAAATAAATAAAATATAAATTTACTTAAAAAAAAATCTGCAAGCTTTTACATTACGCCCAAAGGGGCTTTTTTTAACGTTTTGTGGGTTACCGTTATTTATTAAATATCGTGTTCTTCGCACTTCCAACCATAAAATTCAATTCAAGAGCAATATCGCAAAATAATTTTAAAATGAGTATATTTTTAGAATTTGCGATGCACAATCTCCCGCGCTGAAGATAATTTTTTTTTTTTTTTTTTTTTTTCCTCTACGGTGTTGTCGTTCGCTTTGAAAACGTTGAGTTTCTTAATGAAAAATTCACAAATGCCTTACAAAATAGGAAATCGATAATAAAACAAATTTCAAATTCCAAATTGGAGCTTCGAGATGGCCATATTCGGTAGAAGATAACGTTATTCAAAATTTGATTGGATAGGTACCGTTGTTTTATCACAATGTGAGAAACATACATACATTCAAACAGTATGTATTCTTCATTATTTAATTTCTTTAAATATAACACAGGGCTGGCAACAATTTGAAAAATGAACCGACATTTATAGTGAATCAACGCAAAATCCTAAAACGAAATTAATAGTCTTTCTGCCCCTTTGGACAAAATATAATGGTAATGTATCTAGAAATCTTTTATATATCAAGAAAGAAGTTTGTCTGAACGAAAGAACTATGCGCTTTAGTGGTAAAACACCTGATGCTAAAAAGTATTAGATTATTTGAATACGGCCCCCAAGAGCACTCGAAGGCTATCTGCCTAAGGACAGGGATATTTTCGTGGTTTGGTTTATTTAATTACGGCAAAGCACTCGAAGAGTGTCTGACTAAGGAAAGGGATGCCTTCGTGGAGGACTTCCAAATGAAACTATCTTGTTTTCTTTTGTTAGGGCGTAGCCCAGTCCACCTTGCAAAACAAAGTTAAGACGAAAAATGAGCAATAGCCTTCTCCGAGAATCGAAACACAGACCTCTGAAATACCGGCTCAGTGTGCTGACCGCTACACCACGAAGGCACGATAGAAAGGCGGGAGAAATACCTTATAAAACAAATAACGGAAGAAACCATAAAAGGACAACGTAAATAATGTGGCGCTTAAATGGCTGCCTATTAACATGGTCAACAGGCTCACAGGCATTCTAAACGCTTGTCTGTATATAACAGTTATTTTCCGCATATCTGGAAATCTGCTAAAATGATAGTACTCCCTAAACCGGGAAAAAATCTTACGAAAACAGAAGGGTACAGGCCCATTAGCCTGTTACCCAGTATGGGTAAAATACTAGAAAGAATTATCCTTAGCCGTATTCAGCCCCACATGGATAAACTATCTCTAGAACAATTTGGTTTTAGAAAAGCACTTTCCACGACTAAACAGCTAGTTCGACTCAACGAATTCATTGGCAGTGCACTGCACAACAAGAGATATGTTGCCTTACTCATGCTAGACGTGGCGAAGGCGTTCGACCGCGTCTGGCATGAGGGGCTTATTTACAAGTTAATCAGCTTAAAGTTCAGTGATGCGCTGATTAAAATTATTTATTCTTTCCTGACAAACAGAACTTTCCACATTCAAATTGGAGAAAGTAAATCTATTACGAAAGAAGTAAAGGCCGGGGTCCCACAGGGATCTATTTTGGGGCCAGTACTCTATCTTTTTTACGTAGCAGACTTACCTGCTGAACACCTTGATCAAAACTTCTTCATGGGGTGCTATGCAGATGACACAGCTTTCGCTGTCAAGTCTGGGACACCGAATTTTGCCCTAAAGAAATTGCAGAGATTTATGCCCAAGCTGGAACATTGGTGCGCCAAATGGAAAATAGCAATCAATGCTGATAAGTCCAAACTACTAATCTTTAAGAAAAACAAGATGAATCATCCCTTGACAACACAGCTAATACTCTTTGACACTGTAGTGCCTGTAGTCAAAAGTGCTATCTACCTCGGACTAAAATATTGTTCAAATTTCCTCTGGAAAGAACATGTTAACTGTATTAGAGGGAAAACTATCGGAGTCATACGAAGTCTCACGCCGCTTCTGTCTGCGACTTCCAAAATTAGATTTAAAGAGGAAAAGACATATTTATATATCTATCATACGACCTATCTTTTCATATGCCGCTCCCGCCTGGGCAATTGTTCAGAAGAAGGAGATAGACAAGTTACAAATTTTACAAATAAAGAGCTCTTCGAATGATAACTAATGCACACTATTACGTCTCAAATCACACTCTACACCGTGACTTGAAAATGGACTCCGTCGAGACGTATTTGCATAATGCTAATAACAAATTCTTTAATAAGGCTCTGGAATGTGCACACATGAATGATCTTAATGTCTTGGATTATGTGACTCTTGATGAAGATGCTTCGTTAAGACCACTCGCGGCCCACCTCGCCAGGGACTTAAATTTCCCCACGTAAGATTTTCATGATGGGTACGCACTGCTCTTGTACATATTGTATATATTCTTATTTTTCATTTGTAATTTATATATTTCCTTTTCACGTTACAGTTGTATGTATGTAATAAAGTATGATATGTTTAATTACTATGATGTGTTTTTAAATTCAGATGTCAAGATTGAAATTGTAGGTTTTTGTCTGTGTTTTCTTTAATGTTACAACACAAACATTTCACACAGATCCTCACGGCTCCTGCTTTGTGAATTTCTTGTTGTGCGCGCCTTTAAAGGCCTTGCGACGCATGGTCGCCCCCTGTTATCACCTTTGACCTCTCTAAATTTGTCAAGAAACTGCAACGTCATGTGCCCTTTGGGCTTATTTTCAAGAGCCGGACAAGTTGCGCAGCCGCGCGACATTTCGGCTATAGTCGCACAGACTAGACTAGACCATAAAACGCCCACTCAACCAGTCCATTCACCCAGACTTGAACTCATGTTAAGCGACTTTAGCGCACGGCTTTTAATGCTTTCTTGGAGAACTGTTTAATTGTAAATTTACGCACCTTTTCATATATTGTACCTATTTTTACGGACACCCGTCAAATTGACGGGTATAGGAAACTACGTATTTTCATAAAAAAAGCTACTAATTTAAAAACACTTACAATCTTAACACCAGAACTACCGATAATTGTCAATTTAACTTATTTGTAGTTGTTTTTATCGATATATCGGTTACGGTAACGTTACGGTAGTTTTATTGTTAGAAGATTAAACAGATCTTGCACCAGTGCAATCTTTGCTTACACTCTCTAGTTATTCATTATCTCTTCTTGAAATAGTGTTTATTCTCTCTAGCAATTGATTATCATGTATATTCTTTCTAGCAATACAGCTTCTTTTCTTAAAACTCTCATGATTAAAACTAGAACTTTCCTCTCGTTTCATAACGATATTGCTAATAATAATATAGTACTTTCTTCTCGATCGTCTCTAATTGCGTTAACTGAAACTTTTTCTGAAACGTCTTGACACACTGATTGGAATACAACGAATTCAGATCATTCCTTAACTCTTGAGCGTACGCTTTAGGCACGCACGATTGTCAGATGATCACACGTGACATATGCCTTACTCTGGTGAACCGCGGTGCGTTGATATTGGTTTCGAGGTTATCAAAAGATATTTCATTGAATTTTATTTTAATATCTACGTTTCACTGCTTTTACATTTGTTACCAAAAATTATAAAAAAACCGGTTGGTATTTACGTACTGTCGCAACCAACTTAGTAGAAGGAGCCAAATTTTCAGAAAATGCCAAACTCTGGCAACCATGCACATAACCACTCTTCCGGCAACCATGACCGTAACAATCCTTTCAGTCAGGCAACACCGCCACTCCGTATACGTTCAAATTTTGTTGTATTCCAAGCTCCAACGGTTTTTATACACGAATCGTGATATTTTTTGCCTTAGTTTTAAAATATGAGCTTATGGAACTCGACTGCAATGGAAGAAGCTACGGTAAAATTTCGGCAGTAATACAGAATTTCTGCTGACAATTTTCTAAAGGGAACAATGAGAAAATGCGTATAACCGCTGTTGCCAAAAACTGCAAAAACCGAGTCTTCGCAATTCTCTGGTGTTTTTTTTTAAGTGAAAACAGATGGCTGTGTATTTCGAGAAGGAATAATGCCGCCCCCCCTAAAAAATTACAGAAAGATTCGAAGAAGGATTTTTTTTTTTTTAATATATGGCATAATTTGTATTTAAATTGCTAAAGTAGATGTTTTCTTTTTCTACGTTGATACTGTTTACCAAATTTACTATGAATATCGATATTTTGAGAATCTTTCTAAAACGGAAGGCACGAAAACCACCAACTAGTACATGCTAGGTAATTTTTACATTTTCATCCATAAAAAATCGCCAAATTGCGCCAAGATGGTTGCGATAATACGTAAGTACCAACCGGTTTATTAAGATTATCTAGGAAGCTTGTCTACTCGACATTTAGACGGTATCCGTTGAGAAAGGTATACATCATACAGAACTCTGAAATTAAAGGACTGAAAGCGAAATAAATTTTATATGAATTTGTCTCATTTCATTGATAATTATTAGCATTAATTAGAAAACTATAGAAATCATAGTTTTTGTAATTTTCCTCATGAATTCCGAAATTCGTCGAAATGACGGGTCCCTAAAACTAGTAGCTAAGGGAAACTACCTCGTATTCACGTTACACACGGGCGAAAATCACAAAACCAACCATGCAGCCTCTCTATTCGTCTACGATCGAACCCGAGTGGAATCCCAGAATTCAGCGATCTTAACCACTCGCCCACTGGAGCCTCTACATTACAAAGTAAGAAGAAAGGACAAGAACAATTTCTTCATGTGGTAGCTTAAAAAATAGTCAGTTTCCTTTAGAAAGTCTCCCATGAAAGCGTCCTTCTTTTTTGGTAAACAGGCTCTGAGTGCATTTTCGAAATCAATTAACCAGCGAACCAACCAAATAGCGTTACAGAGATTAGATACTGTTCTATTATCGGGACTGGATTCAGAAATGTATGCGCGTGTTTATAAATGTACGTGCATATATGTGTATATGTATATACACGCACATACATTTATGTTTACATATATCCATGAACACATACATCCATTTCTGTATCTGGTTCTGATAACAGAACAGTGCCAGAGATTATATATAACATTCAGAATGAATATTTAATTTTCGACAAAACTGCTGACATATTTTTCAAATATTTAATCCATTAATTTTTATTTTATGGCTGTTACTTACATAATTAAAATTGCTAAGATATATCTAAGAATAGTTTGCGTGGCACATATACTTTAGATGTGCTGATCTATTAAATAAAAATTAATAGTAAAAGCAAGAAAAAAGAATGATAACTCTTCGAATCAGAATATCAATCGCAAATTAAAATACAAATAAATCAGAAACCTAAAATTTCAGCTTTTAGTATACCACTAAATATAAATCTTAAACCTTTTTCCCAGAGTATTAGCTTACCTGTTTCCCGTACGCAACTGAGTCATCGTCGTCAGCATTTACACCGCCTCTTTTGACCGGCGACCAGTAGCAGAACAAGGATTTACCAACTTTGTAGCCATTTGATTGAACACCTGAATCATTATATTTGAGTCGTCCATTAATGTCAATGTATATCAAGTCCGAAGTCCTGCTTTTGCAAATGATGGATCTTTGAGACGAAAGGTACCTCCAAATGGACGGATCGAAAGGGTGCAGACGTGGTATCAAGCACTTCTGATCAAAGTTTCGAGGCTCTTCAAGATCAAGATCGTAATGAAAGTAGGGATGTTCTTGCACAAAATAGGGCACAGTTTTCTGTTTGGATAACAGCAGAAAAATCGGCAACGTACTAACCAGAATGACAAAACACAGTCCTTGTGCATATCGACGGGCAGAAAACCGCCGAAACATACCTCAATGATCCTTTAGTTTCATCTGAAAGGAAAAGAAAAGGAGTTAATCTCTATTGTAAATTTTAAAACATTCATTTATGATAATTATGTTACAAGTGCAAATAATGGAATGAAGGAATGCGAATATTGCAAGATCAATTTAGTTATTTTTAATCTGATTTCGGCATGGTATCCTGTAGCATGTCTATAAAGAACTGATGCTATGTAAGTACTTATCTTTCTTACACCGAGAGCTTACCTCAGGAATGAATCAGCTCACAAAAACCATTAATAAAAAATTCCTTGATGTCAAAATTTTAACTTTCAACTTATTCCGGTACATAGGTAGTAGTGAAACCAACGTGGCGCAAGTTGGCGATTTTTGCGGAAAAAAAGAAAGATGACTCATAACCAAAGATTATTTTCGGACTTCTTCTCAAATGACACAGGAGTTTTTTCCATATTTCGATTCTATGCGTCAAATTATGCCTAAATATTAAATTTTGTAAAATTTGATGAGAAACTTCCCGAGAAATTTTAAAACTTGTCTTCGCGCCCTTTTTTCTTGGCAAAATTCATAATTTACGGCAATCAGTTTTCCTTTCTCTTTCACTGTGCACGAACAGAATAAAAGGTGCATCTTTCGGTACCGTTTCGTCATCGGGACCGGAGTCGTCGTCAAATGTTCTGCTAAACTCACTAAGAGATTGATTTATACGGTTTGGTTTGGTTTATTAGATAACGGCAAAGCACTCGAGGGCTATCTGCCTTAACGGAGGGATGCCTTATTGGAGGTCTTTTTAAGAGAAACTGGTTCGTATACACGTTACACATGGGGAAAAACCACGAAAACATCCATGCAGCCAGCCCGTTCGCGGGATTCGAGCCTCGGACCGAACTACCAGTGTTTAGCGACGTTACCGTGGCCGATTGAGATTAATCTTTGGATTATGGTAACTTGGCGAATTTTTGGCAAAACTTTGGCGACCAACCCTGCTACAGAGTTTTTTCTAACAATCTAGCCGAATTATGCTTATACTAGAACTTTTATTGAACAAAAATGCTTAATTATGACGAAGATTAGGTGCGAAATTGGGAGAAAGTGCAGAATCGCAAACTGCTTGCCGCGTTTTTTAAATTGCACATACACGGTATCATCCATGTACACGTCGAACTATTTTCTCTTAAAAAAAATCCCAGAATTGCACAAAAATGGCATTGCGCACACTCTTGACTTTATCCATGTACACTACTAAAGTCCTAGCTAGTAACTTTTATCGCCTTACCAAAATGTAGCCAAACTCCCTGTTACCATATTCCAAAGATTAGCCCCGATGGATTTATATTTACGTGGCCGATTGATTTATATGAAGTTGCCAATTTTTACTTTTAAAATTGTTACAATGTTTACATTTAAAAAAAAAGTAAAAGAATGCATTTCAAAATTGGCAAAGAAAATGCAAATTCTAAAGATGTAACGGCCCTTTGTTTTTTATGTTCTTGATTGCCTGGATTGAATAGACTACCGATGATATCTTCCATAAATTTTTGAAAAATTCACTCGTAAACCGAATTTAAAATTCTTGTAAAAGCACGAAATGGATAAAGATTCTTCGAATTCCTTCAGGTTGAAACTAATAACGTTTGCATAATCCGAGTTCAGAAAACAAAACATTTATTTTACATATTTTAAAGAAATAACGTTCTGAAACAACATGTTTCATCTACAAAATCAATCGACGCTCTCACCAGAGCATTACGCCATCAAACTTGGCACACATCCAAAAGTTCAAATTGAAGAATTACAGAAGCGTTGTTGCCACACAAGAAAAGACATATAGTTACAACTTCACACAATAATAAAACAAAAACACGCTTTTGAAAAATAGACAGACAATAATAATAAAAATAGTAATAATAAAATTCTTAACAATATTTTCTCGATTATGCAACATCCTCCCCCCTTTTTGAGTCAGTGGCAAACGACTCAAAAACATATGTTATCCTATTAAAAAGGTCTAGTACATTAGGCTTCTTAACAAGCCGTCCTGACGACGTAAATTTCTGTTTTATATGCTGTACGTCAGTCTGATCGTTTTTCTTATCGTCGTTAACGTTAGGCTCTTCAACTAAATAATTTTCATCTAGTTGTATCTCTAGTGGATAAATACGCTGAACGGGCCTTATGAAAATCCCATTCTGAGTTTTTAGTTTAACTGTTCGAACTTTGCCATCCCGACCAGGAATTTTCTCTATAATTTTACCCAAAGGCCAATACAAGCGTTTTTTGAAATCATCGCCTATTAAGACTATCTCCCCAATTTTAGGCAACCGGGTTACTTTATTTTGTGGTTGTTTCATTATTAATTGCCCCAAATATTCTTTTCGGAAACGGTTCCTTAAATCTTTAAGAAGTTTTGTGCGGTATTTAATTCTTCTCAAAAAATGCTGAGAGTCAATTTTATCTATATCTGCTACATTCGAAGTACAATTTTCAATTAAAAACATTGACGGAGTTAAAGGGATAGCATCTTCAGAGTTCTCCGAAATATATGTTAAAGGTCGAGAATTAATTACCGACTCACAATCGCAAATTAAGGTTTCCAGTTCTTCATAAGATAAAACCGATTTTCCCAAAGAACGTCTTAAAAGTTCTTTAACCATGCGAACTAGCCGTTCCCACCAACCTCCCCACCAGGAGGCTGTTGGTGGATTGAATTTCCATACTATTCTCTTTATTTTTGCCTCATTCTCTATTATGTCCCAGTTAAGTTTAGACATTTCGTTATACGTTCCTCGGAAGTTAGTCCCATTGTCAGAATAAATGGTTCGTGGTCTGCCACGTCTGGCTATGAATCGTCTTAAAGCCAAAAGAAAAGATTCTGTTGATAACGAAGTCACCAGTTCTAGATGGATTGCCCTGTACACAGCGCATGTGAAGAGTGCCATCCAAACCTTCTTACCGTCTTTCAAAAACAATGGGCCAGCTAAATCTACTCCCAAAATTTCAAAAGCCCTATAATCTCCTACGCGATCTTCAGGAAGAGGAGTCACTTCGCAAGACATCGGTTTCGCTTTATATCGTTGACATATTACACACACCCTTTTAACACATTACGCACAGTTTTACGTTGTTTTAGTATCCAGAATCTTTCTCTTAAAATAGATTGAAGCATTTGAGTTCCAGCATGACAATGTTTCTTATGAACTGACTCAATTAACAATGTAGTAAAGATACATTTACTCGGTAACAAAATTGGTGTTAAAAATTCAGAATTGTCTTTGCGTTCCAATATTCTAGTTTTAACTCTTATAATTTTTTCATTATCAATGAATACATCAAGTGGATTAAGAGCTCCAATGTCAGGGAAATTTGAGCTTTGAACCAACCGAATCAAAACTTTTTCGGAATTTATGATTTCAGCAACAGTTAGTTTAGATTCTTTACACAAATTTGACTTCTTCCTACAGTTAGAAATAAAACGTAACACCCAACCGGTTACACGAATCATTTTTTCATAATCAGAAACTCTTTCTGCATACCAAGGAGTGGTATCCTCTGAAAAGTTAACATTAATAAGTTTTACCTTCCTCTTTTCCAAGTCAGCTTCGCTCGGCTGACAAACAATATTGGTAGGCCAAAATTCAGGGCTTTCTCTTAGCCAGAGAGGTCCCTTAAACCACTCCGAGTTAATCATTTGTTTAGCAGAGCAACCTCGAGATAACACATCTGCTGGGTTCATATTACCAGGCACATGCCTCCATGATTCAGGTTTTGTCAACTTAGTAATTTCTTTAACACGATTGCTTACAAAGTTTGACCAATTACCAGGATTTCTGATCCACCATAATGCGACTGTGGAATCACACCATAAAAGTTACATTTATATCAAAATCATTAAGAGCTTTACAAACAGAATATAATAATCGGGATCCAATGCAACAGGACATTAATTCCAATCTAGGAATCGTCAAATTCTTAATAGGAGCTACTCTAGATTTTGCTCTTAAGAGAGTAATTTTTACACTGCATGAATCAACACTTCTCGCGAAAATACATCCTGCATAAGCATATTTGCAGGCATCGACAAATACATGCAATTCAACTGTTGCAAAGGTTCCAATGAATCGGGGTATTGCCACATTTTTCAACAAAAGTATATCAGATAACCACACAAAAAATTTACTTACAAAATCATGAGGCAATACCTCGTCCCAAGAAAATTTCAACTTCCATGTTTCTTGTAACAAAAGTTTTGGAAGCAAAGTTATTGGTGCAAGTATTCCAATTGGATCAAAAATTGATTGTACAATAGACAGAATCAGTCTCTTAGTTACCTTAGTATCACAAGTTATCATATTTACATTTATATTACACCTTAAAGTATCATTGTCTAAATTCCACAATATTCCTAAAAGAGGTGTGTCCCCAGAATGTTTTGTAGTATATTTGGAAGCAACATTGCTCTCCCATCCCCTTAAATTAAATCTGCCTCTCGACATAAGACTTTTGGCCTTTTGAATTAAATCCTCTTGTTCCTCAATATTGTAAACACCCGTAATACAATTATCTACATAGAACGAATTTTTTAATTTGTCAGCCACATCTAAAAAGTCAGATGGACAATTATTCAAGAGATATTTAATAGACGCACCTAGTAGATAAGGGCTGCAGGAAACCCCAAAAACTACTCTGCAGTGCCTATACACTATTTCTCCCTCATCACTTGGATAGAAAAATCGCAAGTAATCTCTATCCTTCGGAGAAATTCCTAACTGCAAGAATGCTTTCTCTATGTCTGCACTCAGACCAATAGGAAAAAATCTCATTCTGTCTAAAATATCAGGGACTAATTCTATTAAATTAGGTCCTTTCAATAAACACTGATTCAAAGATGGTTTTCCCTTTTCACAAGATGAAGCATCAAAAACGGGTCTTACCTTAGTGCTTTCACTATTCATCTTAATAACCGGTCTGTGTGGTAAAAAGTGGCATTTATTGTTTAATTCCTTTTCCGGAACCTTTTCTATAATATTTAAATT